ATGCACAGACAATGAATCATGGAACACTTCATCTAAAACTAATGATGTAATGTATGGGGATTAACATAAGAATAAAAAAAAAAAAGAAAGAAAAAAACAAAACAAAACAAAAAAAAGTTGGCAGTCTCCTACCACTGTCCAGAATGGAGAGTGTCATGGTTAAGCCATGAAAAATACAGTTTCCTTAGTAAGTCTATTTCTTTAGAATAGAAAGATTTCTAGCAAGTTTATCAAAGCATTCTTCTGCTGTTAAATATGAATTTTTAAGCTCACTACTTTAAGAAGCTGGAATAAGTACAGCCCTAAATAAGCCAACTGCTCCACAACTGGAAAGATAACTAAACTCTGAAACCACTGAAATCCTTACCACCACACAACTTATTAGAGTGTAACCTAAATAGCTTATCCACTTTCCTACAGTGGTTTAAAAAAATAATAATAAATAGAAGAAAATGGAAATGATGTTCTAAGCTCAAAAGAAAAAGTAACTGAAGCAGTACAAATATAACCAACTTTAAGAATCAGTAATCCTACATTAATTAATAAATAACTGTAACTTAAAAATCAATCCATATGAAAATACAAGTAACACTAAAATTATCTTCACAGATGAACAAAGTAAAACCTGACAGTTTTTTCCCTTGGTTTATAATTTAAGAACATTCTTTAGGTTTTTCAGAGAACAAAAGCTTGAAAAGTGAGCTGCCCACTCACTACCACAAACAAGATCAAGCATCTCCTTCCCTACAGAAGCTTCTCTTGCTATTATTTGCTTATATCAACACCTGCTCAATCCCTGGTCCCTTACTATGTAATTTCTGCCCCAACATTTCAAATAACCCGTTGTCTCAGAAGATTCCACGGCCTTCTGCCTCTTCCATTACTGGACACTTCTAATAATGTGCTCTTCTCTCCAGGATTCACTCCCATATTGTTCCTCACACCTCTGGAAGCGTTTCTGACCTGGCTTTTTTTTCTACAGGACCTTCATCTTTTCATATGCCTGAAGGTGAACATCTTGGATTCTCTCCTTGAACTTGCTTTTGTCTCCCAAGGCCCTTTACACACACACTCTAAAAGTAAAACTCTATCTCCAAGCACTACTAATAACAGCCTCCCTGTCATTAAGACTCAAGTTCAGGATCATGTCCATCACTCTCCCTTGCCCAGCACAGTCAGTCAGTCACCACAAGTCAATCAACAAAGAGTTACTGAGAGTACCAGACACTGGGAATAATGTGTGAACAAAACAGATGTGATCACTGCCCCTCTTCCTGGAATTTACAATATAGTAGAAAAGTCAGAAATGATAAATTACACTTGATATTACTTATGCACAACCTGCTATTAGCAATCAAGTACCAGAAAGTTCACACCATCATTCTCTCTCTTAAATCCATTATCTTCTTTCCATTCCCACTGCCACCATCCTGAGCCTAACATTTGTCATTTTGACCTTTTCTCCCACTACTTTCACAACACACTCCAGGTAGACCACTTCTCCACGCATTATACCTGACTGCCTACTATTTTGCTTATGCTGCTAGTATGCTTACGAGAGCAAAATCCAACTATCATGTTCAATGGCCTATCTCAAGGCCGCCTTTGTCAGTTGCCCATTCTTGTTCTCTACCCTGAAAGCCATCCCTTCAGAAAAGAACACATTCGGGTCTTCCTCAGATTCCCATCTATTATATGGTGTAGGAAAAAATGCATTGCACATGGGAAGCAGGCACTCAAAACTATTTTAACTGAACATGGATTAATAAAGTATAAAATATACTTCACCTTGAAGTGTCTGCATCATTTCTAGAAGTACAGGAGTAAGAGTCTGATTATATTCATGGAATATATCTATAAATAGTACTTCAGTGCAAGGCTGGAGAGGAAAGAAACCAATTTTCTAGTGAAAACAATGGTATATTGTATTGATCAATTCTACAATAAAGCAAAGAATACTCATTCTTAAAATCATAAAACTCCAAAAATGTTTCCAATTCTTGATGTTTTTACATGAAGTAGATTACAATTGTTGTAGATACACTGGGAAAGAAAAATTATAATTTGATTCCTAACACACAGAAAGTTTATTTTACTATTTCAATCATTGGCATTAGGCATTCAAAAAGTAAAACTCCAGAGAGAAAATAATTTATTTTTAATTAACAGTTCTTTAAATTAAAAAAAGCAATCTAAAGCCACATTCATTTGCAGATTCAGTACTATAAATGACTATGCAGGAACTAATTCGTTAAAAATTATGTATTTTTCTTAGCAATGACACAATAAGTAACAACTGCAACTCAGGAATTCAATTCACCACATAGAACAGTATTTTTTTTTTTAATTAACATATAATGTATTATTTGTTTCAGGGGTACAGGTCTGTGATTCATGAGTCTTACACAATTCACAGTGCTCACCATAGCACACACTCCCCTCCATGTCCATCACCTAGCCACCCCATCCTTCCCACCCAGCAAATAGTATTTCTTTTAACAGACACAAACAGTAACAGAAGTCAGTGTTAGCTACATAGTAAGAATGATTCATTTTGGTTCTTAAAAGTACCAAACCATCACATTAATACAAAGGAATTATGAATTTTGAAGGTAACATGCTTTATGTTTTAAATCAAATCTTGGGGCACCTGGGTGGCTCAGTTGGTTAAGCGACTGCCTTCAGCTCAGGTCATGATCCTGGAGTCCCAGGATCAAGTCCCGCATCGGGCTCCCTGCTCGGCAGGGAGTCTACTTCTCCCTCTGACCCTCCCCCCTCTCATGTGCTCTCTCTCTCTCTCTCTCTCTCATTCTCTCTCTCAAATAAATA